CATCCGATAATCCTTCCGGGTAAACATCATTTTACTAAGCTTATTATCAGACATGAACATTATAAAATGCTTCATGCAGGAACTCAAACCCTATTAGCTACTATCAGAACGAGGTATTGGCCTTTATCAGCAAAAAACACTATTAAAGGCATACTAAGAACATGTATTGTTTGTTTTAAACAAAAGGCCAACAATGTAACACCTATAATGGGTAACTTGCCTATACACCGAGTTACGCCATCAAGACCTTTTCAGAATTGTGGAGTGGATTATGCGGGTCCATTTAACATAAAACTACATAAATACCGCGGTAATCGAACAGTCAAGGGTTACTTATGCATATTTATATGTTTTTCAACAAAAGCTTGTCATTTAGAATTGGTAAGTGACCTCAGCAGCGAATGTTTTTTAAACTGTTTAAAGCGTTTTATATCCAGACGTGGAAAACCTACCAATATCTATAGCGACAACGGCACAAATTTCGTCGGTGCTCAAAATAACTTACAAGAATTTTTTAACTTTATTAAATCAAGACCTGTTCATACCTCATATACAGATTACTTAACTTCTGAATTTGTACAGTGGCATTTTATTCCTGCACGATCGCCTCACTTTGGTGGGTTGTGGGAAGCTGCAGTCCGCACTGCTAAATATCATATTAAACGAGTTCTAGGTAATTTAAATTTAACGTTCGAAGATTTTTCTACAATCACTTGTCAGATAGAAGCATGTATGAACTCACGACCTATTCATCCTTTGTCAAATGATCCTTGCGATTTTTCCGCACTGACTCCTGGACACTTCCTAATTGGTTCCCCCTTTCTTCCCTACCCGAAAGTGACTTACGGGACACACCAACAAATAGATTATCAAAGTATCAGCAGTTTGCCCAGGTGCTCCAACATTTCTGGACCAGATGGTCAAAAGAATATATTTCCACACTCCAAGAACGGGGCAAGTGGAGAATCAACCAAAATCATCAACTGAGCATTGGATCACTGGTTCTACTGAAAGAGGACAACCTTTCCCCTCTCAGATGGAGGTTGGGGAGAATAGCATTGCTTCATCAGGGTCTGATGGTGTCGTGCGCGTTGTGACGGTGCGCACATCGTCTGGTGAGGTGAAGAGATCAGTGACAAAAGTGTGTGTCCTACCAGTAGAAGAGGATGGAAGAGAGCTGTGACCGCATAATGACATTATATTAATTTCGTGCTTATTATCACACCATATATGTTTTTTAAATCATGTTTTTCTTAATGTTCATTGTTTTCCTTTTTTTGTTTAACTATCTAAGATAGTTCAAGGCGGGCGGTATGTTGGATTATGTTTATCTGTCACGCCACTGATCACATTTAATAATTGATTTGAGTACACCACTGTACACATTTTTGACATAAGTCATTCTTGATAGGTTCTTGGTAGACGAAAAAAGCACACGGTGACAAATTACGTTATTTTTATAAAATCAGTGTAAATAGTGTTAGTTTGTAATACCCAAATAAATAATACAGTCCACTAGAAGAGAAGTTTAATTCGTACCATAACCAGCGCAAAAGATACAACACAATGGTTTCATTATTAATTTATTTCTACTACGAATAAACATTTAAATTTCAACAAATGCACAACATAACTTGAATTCTAGCTTTCTAACCGATGAGCAGTGCCGTCTTTGGTATAAAGGGGGTCACGGGCCTAAAACAGCAGAGGCCCCTCGGGTCTTGGATGGGGTCTTGCATTCGTTTTTCAATTTAAAAATATTATTATAAGCTTTAAGAAAATGATGTTATCGTTTTTGAGGCCTTTTTGGAGCTGCGGGGCCCCTAAATTCTCCAGGGCCCCGGGCCAGGGCGCATATTCGGAATTCGCCGACATATTAGCCGCTCGGGATAGCTCGGGTACTGCCTAAAGTACCGACTACTATGAAAAAGAGATAAAAATTGGGTTGTCTTCTATGCGGTATTGCCTCAAAAGTTCAACTATCACAAGTAAGCCTTTATGGAAAATGTTGCATCTAGGGTGGAAACCTTATTTTTCACATTAGTTATTCATTTCACTACAGATGTAATAAATTATATTTAGCTTAGATATATTATCTTCATTTCAGTTCATTATATATTTCTCTTCATTTCAATTCTTACAAACGTAAAAACCGGCAACACTGTATGCTGCTTTTGATTTTGTCTGTCAGGGTGCATCCACACTATCCTAAAAACGGCGTATCGGCGTAACGACGTAACGACCTTGAATAGATTTCCAGTAATTCTATTGGCTGAAAAATTCATCTGTCAGAAATTTTATCTGTCAAATTCATCTGTCAAAAATTTCCGCCAACAGAATTACTGGAAATCGATTCAAGGTCATTACGCCGATACGCCGTTTTTAGGATAGTCTGTACCTTGAGGGTGCATCCAGACTATCCTAAAAACGGCGTATCGGCGTAACGGCGTAATGACCTTGAATCGATTTCCAGTAATTCTATTGGCGGAAATTTTTGACAGATGAATTTGACAGATAAAATTTCTGACAGATGTTTTTAGGAGGATGACGCCGTTTTTAGGATAGTGTGGCTGCACCCTGAGGGTGCATATCGGCGTAACGGCGTAATGACCTTGAATAGATTTCTAGTAATTCTATTGGCTGAAACATTCATCTGTCAGAAATTTTATCTGTCAAATTCACCTGTCAAAAATTTCAGCCAATAGAATTACTGGAAATCGATTCAAGGTCGTTACGCCGTTACGCCGATACGCCGTTTTTAGGATAGTGTGGATGCACCCTCAGGGTGCATTCTTGAATAGATTTCCAGTAATTCTATTGGCTGAAAAATTCATCTGTCAGAAATTTTATCTGTCAAATTCACCTGTCAAAAATTTCAGCCAATAGAATTACTGGAAATCGATTCAAGGTCGTTACGCCGATACGCCGTTTTTAGGATAGTGTGGATGCACCCTCAGGGTGCATTCTTGAATAGATTTCCAGTAATTCTATTGGCTGAAAAATTCATCTGTCAGAAATTTTATCTGTCAAATTCATCTGTCAAAAATTTCAGCCAATAGAATTACTGGAAATCGATTCAAGGTCGTTACGCCATTTTGGCTGGCCATTTTTTTTTAAGTTCACAGCCAACTATGATTTCCAGTTAAAAAATATATTTGTTGTCATTTCTGACAAAAAGAGCAAGTATAGAAAAAAACTGACTACGCCACTGAAATTGTGCTGAAAAAAGTGCCTTAAGAACGTTTTTACAGAATTTTATTATTCCGCGAAATACAAAAGTTATTAAGGGCAATTTTCAAAATGGTAAAATATTCAAAAAGACCCCGTGTCTCAATTGGCAGTAAAAATATCAACAGGCGGTTTACGTCATTAAACATGTCTCAGAAATCGAGCCCATGATATCTATGTCGGTTTTACTCTATCTAGTCAGGAAATAGGTTTTCTCTGTTAAAACAGACCAATTTCGACCACCCTGTACAACAAAAAATATTAACAATATATGGAAAAAAGGACTTAGTTTAGCAAAAGCACAACCCTGTATTATTCCTAAAAGAAGAAACTTCAGTCAGACATCAACGAACGCTCTAACGCGGGTTTTATTTTAAAAGTTCCGTCAAAATATTTCACGGGTCCTTTTTATAAACACGATAAATCGATTCTCTTAAGTGACGTTAGCCTTGTCAAACAGACGGTCCTCTTGCCAGCAAGGAAGAAGATATAGGAAGGGATATTTTAGAGAGAAATGATTTGTGTTTACAGTACGTCTGTCCGTTCTGTAGCTACGGGGTATCCGTGAGAGGGGAAACGATATTCTCTCGATGTTTTTCGTAAAAAAAACAGACGACGCGTCCCATCGATAAAAATTCAACAAATTTGCAACTAACCAATAATGGGGACGGAGCGATTTGCGGTGACGCACTCGTCAAATCGACGTATAAAATATATAGCTGTTTATTTAAATGTTTTTTGTCCGCATTCCTTTCATAGACACAGATCCAGCAGATGTACTGTAATAGAGTATACGCACTTTGGCTAGTCAGTCCAGTCAGAAGATAATACAATAATATTATTTGAGCTCTTAATTGAGTGAAACTTGGCTGAAATTTTTGACAGATGAATTTGACAGATAAAATTTCTGACAGATGAATTTTTCAGCCAATAGAATTACTGGAAATCTATTCAAGAATGCACCCTGAGGGTGCATCCACACTATCCTAAAAACGGCGTATCGGCGTAACGGCGTAACGACCTTGAATCGATTTCCAGTAATTCTATTGGCTGAAATTTTTGACAAATGAATTTGACAGATAAAATTTTTGACAGATGAATATTTCAGCCAATAGAATTACTGGAAATCTATTCAAGGTCATTACGCCGATACGCCGTTTTTAGGATAGTGTGGCTGCACCCTCAACCCATGGTACAAAGAAAACAAGGTATGATCGATAGCGGCTCCAATATCGTTAAGTTTGCGCATACCACCTGTGACGTCATACGCCATACAAAAAAATATCCATATTGTTCTATTACCACTAATAAAAAAAGACCTAAAATAGGGAGAATTAGGACATAACCCCAAAAGTTATGTCAAATCATCGAGCTTGACATTTGTAAAATTATTTTCACATTTATTTATGTCATCTGTTTGACAATTTGAAATTGGCGCGCGGAGCTTGCCGACCAATGGTGCCGTTTATCATCTGTGACGTAGTGACCAACCTGCGCAATATCATACCTTGTATTCTTTGTATCATGCCCTCAACCAGTCATTTATATTATTCTGTCTTACACGTTAAAATCCAGACCACACTTCTAAAATGACCAAAAAAAAATCGGTATAACTTATTAATTTTAATAAGTTATAATGATAATGATAAAATAAATATTTATAAGTTAGGTTATGTTGCAAAATTCCACACCACCCAAGAGGTATTGCAAAGGCGCGTTACTTTTTTCAGTGGGTGTTCGCCAGTAGCCCTATCATCCCACAAAGTAGGTATATAAAAAAGCTTACCTGTTTTTTTTTAAATAGATATTATATTTAGGACTGATTACTCTAATGCTTATGAACAATAAGCTGAACTTTATTTGGGCTCTTAATTTACTTTATAGTAATTGTTCAAAATGATGGCCTCCAGTTCCAACACATGCTTCTGTTCTTCTTTGCATGGAATTTTGAATGTCTTCGAGCAGATATTTGTTCGTTCTAATATAATCAAAGGTGTCCATGATACGTTCTCTTAAATCTTCTAAATTAGTCACTGGAACTGAGTAAACTGTTTGTTTTATATAACCCCACAGGAAAAAATCACACGGATTTATATCTGGTGATCTTGGGGGCCAGAGCACAGGACCTCCCTGACCAATCCACCTGCCAAAAAAGTGTTCATTTAACCATTCTCTCACAAAATTACTTTGGTGTGGTTGGGCCCCATCATGTTGGAACCATTGGTTCTTTCTTACTTCCAGGGGTATATCATCTAAATAAATATGAAGGCTTTGACTTAGAAAATCATGATACACTGCTTGTGTCAACCTTCTTTCGAATATGTGTGGCCCTATTAGAGTATTATTAACAATACCAGCCCAAATATTAAGTGAAAATCTCTCCTGCAGATGCCTATCTCTAGTGGCACTTGGGTTTTCGTAAGACCATATTTGGGTACCGTTAGAGTTACGTATACCATCCTGTGTAAATTTTGCTTCTCCTGTCCACAATATATAATTTGGGAAACGAGTATCTTCCCGGCATTTATTTTGATACCATTTACAAAATCTTACTCTCTTTTGAAAATCCTGCCCTCTAAGACATTGCATCTTTCTTATATAGAAACCTGTTCTCGGAGGTATTGTATAATAAACACTTGACGGTAATATATCAATAGAGGATAGAGTTTGGGAGGCCAATCTTCGTGTGCTAGTTCCGTCCTCTGTTTGTTCACGATTTTCTACTTGAGGACTGAAATTACCATAGTCTCTCAAACGTTGAACAATGTTCAAAAATGTTTGAGCATTTGGAACTTCTCGATTGGGATATTTTTCCGAGTAAACCCTTTGAGCTTCAGGGCCACTTTCTCCTGCTAGAAAATAAGCCCGTACCATATCTATTTTCTCTTGGTTTGAACATGCCATCCTAATTAAGACCTAAGACCTAAAGAAAAACTGAATTCCAAAATGGGGTTACAATAATATTAATACCTATATGTATAAATATCAAATTTAAATTATAATGTTATTGTATCAATGTAAAACACTTTGAAATTAGCAAAACAGCAAACAACTTTGCATTCCAGTTTCAAAAGCTCTATTTAAGTTTGATTTAGATGATTCACAGGGTTAATATAATAACAGTGTTGCCACTGTTAAAAAACGAAAGTCGGTAGTTTCCCGAGATACGATGGTTTTTCGCGCTTTATACAAATCGTTATATTCTATGCTTTGTTATACATATAAATACCGGGTATGATCGAAAAAACGGCGTCAGAGATGGCTATGAAATGACGGTCTCTGGTCTCTGTCATTTTATATATAGGTATTTTATATGTAAAATTATATGGGGAATGTCATCGATGTTCATTTCCAAGCCAACTGGACGCCGTTTTTTTCGATCATACGGTCCGCATTTATACATTCCGTACGTGTATACGGCACCAAGCACAATCTCATTGGTCAGATTTGAATTTTAAACCAATTAAACTCCGAGTGCCATACGCGAGTATGGAACGTAAGACAGTGCCATATGCACTTACGGAATTATGCGCACGAGGCGTGTAGCAACGAATGCAGTATTCCATGGGTGCGTAATTTGCTCTTGCAACAGGAATTACGTAAATTTCATATACAAGGCTACTAATATATGTATATATAGTATAAAGTACGCCTACTGGATCTGTGTCTATGAAAGAAATGCGGACAAAAACATTTAAATAAACAGCAATATATTTTATACGTCGACTTGACGAGTATGTCACCGCAAATCGCTCCGCCCACTCATTTTATTGGCTACTTACAAATTTGTCGAATTTTTATTGATGGGACGCGTCGTAATTTTTTACGAAAAACATCGAGGGAATATCGTTTCCCCTCTCACGAATACCCCTTAGCTACAGAACGGATAATCGTACTGTACAGGGTGGGTCAAATTGGACGCTTTTAAAGGGAAACAGCTTTTTCTATAGGACATAGACGAAAACTAATATCGTTGTCTGGAGCTCAATTTTTATCAAAAACATGATGGTGAAAATCGCACATCGATATCTGTTACCGTTTCGAAGTTACGGGGTGTTTTTAAAAAATGTGCATTTTTAACAAATCGCTGTAACTTTTTTGCTATGGAAAATTTTGTACTTTTGTGAAAACATTTTCAACGCGCCTTTTTACGTAGAATTTACTGGTTTAAGTATACTTTTTATAAAATTAATAATTTAAGAGTTATCAACAGAAAAATTGATTTTTTATTTGGGACACCCTGTATATTTTTAATTAGCTGAAAAGAACTTAAAATTACCTTTCCAAAAATATAGCACATTTGATATTTTGTTATAGTCCCCTTCGAAATACAGAATTTTTAAAAGTTTGGCACTTTTAACTAGTAGGCTTTGGACCCTTGGATGATCTGCCCCTAATGGAACTCGAAAATATATTTTTCCAACAAGACGAGGCACCGCCTCAGAATTCTGAAGTTATCAGCAAATTTTTGCAGCCAATTTCGAGAGGAATTGAATAGCTAACCAAGATCCCAGCCGTTGGCCGTCGACACCGCCGGACTTAGAGCCTATGGATTTTTATCTTAGCGGAAGAATAAAGGTTCTTATTTTTAAATTGCCCGTATAATCTAGACAAGAATTAGAAGTACTTAGCAGTTATGCGAGGGTATCTTTCACCCCCACTGAGTTAATGAATCCACGAGAAATGTTCAAAAACGGTCCCGTCTTTCCAACAGAAGACCGTCGATATGTCGAACACCTATAGCATGTCTTGGTTTGCTATTTATTTTTATTCTTATTAGATATAGTTTAAATATGTTGATGATGTTAAATATAGTTTAAATTGTTATAAAATTCTGCATCTCTCATTGCAAATATTATTTGCGTTTTAATTCCTGCTCACGGCTAGAATTTTTTTTGCATTACAGCTGGCGCCGTTCAAAGCCTACTTATTCAAAGTGGGCGTGTTTTTAAAAACTCTATATCTCGAAGAGGAATCGAGCAAAATATCAAGTGTGCTATATTTTTCGAAAGGTAATTTTAAATTATTTTCAATAAATTAAAAATATACAGGGTGTCCCGTATAAAAAATCAAATTTTCTGTTGGTAATTCTTAAATTATTAATTTTAAAAAAATTATACTTAAACCATTAAAATTCTACGTAAAAAGGTGCTTTGAAAATGTTTTCACAAAAATACAAAACTGTCCATAGCAAAAAAGTTACAGCAATTTGTTAAAAATGCACATTTTTTGAAAAACATCCCGTAACTCCGAAACGGTAATAGATATCGATATGCGGTTTTCACCGTCATGTTTTTGATAAAAATTGAGCTCCAGACACCGATATTAGTTTTCGTCTATCTCCTACAGAAAACGGTGTTTCCCTTTAAAAGCGTCCAATTTGACCCACCCTGTACTTTACCTACGAGCACACATACTTTATAACAGATAACAGATAGTGTTTTTTGCTTGCTTACCGTGTGTTATACGCTATTTGCAGCACAAAATACATTACTATAACTTTTTTTTTGTTACAGATAAAGAATTGCTAGAAATGAAAACTTTAGAAAATATTTTAAAAGAACATGCTACAATACTCAAGCAGTCTAGAAAAAAAGAAGCGGAGCTACAAAAGGAAGCTGATGGTAATTTTCTGACTTCTCTGAAAAATGATTTAATTTTAGTTTTAATTAAGTTTACAGTTAGGGTTACCAGACGTCCGGATTAATCCGGACATGTCCGGATTTTCACTTCTTCCGGTTGAATCCGGGCGGATTTTGTATAAGCGTCCGGATTTTAATGTTCCATTACGAAATGTCACAATAATGCAAAATAATATATTAGATGGTATCTGCGATATTAGTTTTAATAAATTTAGTTACTTAAAAAATCGTCGATAAATTCAGCAGTGTACATTAATTGTTTTACTTCGTAAGTTTTAAGACTTGAAAGTTGTAAATGTATGTAATATGTATTAAAAATTAAATAATTGAATTCTAACGCCACCGTATACCGCGATCGACCCACATAGGCGAAAAAGCTATTATTTTCAAACTCCGCTTATTTCGACCGCCACCCGTTATGCTCGTATAACAGGTTATAAATAAATTTATCTAAAACAACTGCTTATTTTCTATACGTTATTCCCAACCAGTTGCGGGCCCAGCATCGACAATCAACCAATGCAGCAGCGTTACTTTCCCACTCCGGTTATCTCGACTGCCAGGCGTTATGCCCGCAACAGTTGCAACTATTTTAAAAAAGCTGCTTATTTTATATACTGTTATTTTTAAGCTGTTGCAAGCCCATCGACCGACGCAGCAAAGTTCGCCGTGGCGCATTCCACACTCTGTTGTATCTCGACTGTCGGCGCGCCGCCCGTTATCGATGGTTGTCGAAATAACAGATTTTTCATACTAGTTGTTTTTTGGAATTGCTTCGAGCCGCATAGAATTTCGTGGCGATGCAGAGCACCGACTTCGTTTCACGAGCGGTCGATCTCTACGTGTCGTTATTTTATATCTGTTATTTTTTAGAAGTAGCAACGGTTGCGTTATGTTATTTCCAAATAACTGTAAAATAACAGATAGTTAAATAACAACCCATCTCAACAATTTTCATATCAAAAAGAAAAAAATGATAACCCATATGCACGCAATGACATCGAAATAAATTAGACCCGGCGACTTACATTTTGGCGAAATCCATCATTGCCTTAGAAAATTGCATGTATGCCAAATTTCCACTACCGGCCGCATTTAAAATGAAATCTTACCTACGTATACGTACGGGGATAGCTAACCCACATTGTAAACCAGGAATTCCGTAATTCCAAATATAGATTACGTCGTAGAATATTTTAAACCGATAATAATTAAAGGTAGTAAAGTTAATAAGTAAAGGTTTAAATCTTCTGTAATTATAATTTTTAGAAATTAAGAAATTTAACATAAAACAATCGACAACGTCGCAACGCCAGCTGATGCCGAAAACGTACGCATTTTACTATCTTCACTCCTAAATTTAGGCAGCCAACAAAACATCCAGTTCGAATTCGTTCATAAATTGCTCTACGGCGTTGCCAATGTGTTGTAGTTTTTCGAAATGTTTTACGAGGTGATTTCCAGATATTTTAGTGTTTTGTGGTATTGTTTTTAGTGATTTTATTGATAAACAATAAGACAATGGTGCGAACTTGCTTAATTTGCAAAAATAGAGACGATTTAAACCTAGAAGTTTCATTTCGAAGGTGAGTAAGGCTATGTTACATCAGTGCGGTGCCGAAAGGTAAAATAGAGAAAAATCTTTGGAAATATGTATTAGTAAATCACACAGTTTTGGAATGTACCGTTATAAGTAATGAATTACATTAAGTTAGTTTCGTCACGTTTGGTTTTATTGAATATTTTGCTCATAATTTTTAATTATTAAAACCAAGTATACAAATACCAAGTATACAAATGCGATTAATTTGTTGAAAAGATATATAAAAAAATTAAAGATGCCACAATTACGAAAAATGTTCATAAGCGAAATACCAATGATCGAGAAAAAAACGGCGTCAGCGATGGCTATGAAATGAAGGTCGCTGTCATTTTATATGTAAAATTATATGGGGAATGTCATCGATGTTCATTTCTAAGCCAACTGGAGGCCTTTTTTTTCTATCATACTGATTGTTATTAGGATTTTTAGTTGTTAAAGATGATTTTTTAAGTGTAAAATCAAAATAGATTTATATAATGATTGAAAAAAAAGTTAAGGGAAGAGTACGTTGGATATTACATACTAAATACCGAATGATCGGAAAAAAAACGGTATCGAAGACTGCTGGGAATAACAATCGAATATAATTTTGGCGAGGTCTATTTCTAGATGTCATTTATTAAAAATTGACATAAAGCTTGTCAAAAACTAATACTAATTATAGAAAAATTATAAAAGGATAGAACGTTTCCAGAAACACAAACCGATATCCAAAAAAAAATTGAATTTATACTACACCATTTAAAAATCAAATACAGCCTTAAGGCCTACTACTGCCAGTAAGTGCCATTAAAAAATAAACAAGAGAAGGGTCATGACATATCACCTCGCCAAAATTATCACTGATTGTCATTTTTACGCCGTTTCTTTTTCGATGGTATAATGTTTGTGGTAATAGAGCAATGTATTTTTGTTTTGTTTATTAATGCTATAAAAAATTATATAGTTTAAAAAGATGAATGCATCTTTGTTTGATATGTTTTATAAAGCATTACTTATTTTTTGTTTGGTAATTTCTAATGAAAAGTTAATTATTTATTCAGTACAAGGTCCCGATTATCCGCGAAGAAACTGTTCCAGAAATAAGTAAATATTTTAGAAATTTTCTTTTGTTTAACAAAGATCTTTATTATTGTTGCTATATAGTAATATTTTTATACCTAATATAAAATTGTAATTAGTCACGACAGTTTTAAAATATTCTCATTTTCCACCGTTGCTTCAAGCAAAATAATAACCATTAATTCACATAAATGTTTTATAAAAGTCGTCGTCGGCTCGTATTCATTGAATGCTTGATGGATTATATTACTACTGGAGCAATTTACAGACTTTATACTATGGAAATGTGCATATCATAATATTTCAATTAGTTATTTTCAATTTATTGGAGTACAGAAGTAGTCATTTTCAAAATTTGAAGAGCCATCGAGCACAACAATATATCGTATCCAAAAATCATACCGTATGATCGAATAAAAACGGCGTCAACGATGGCTACGAAATGAAGATCGCTGTCATTTTATATGTAAAATTATATGGGAAATGTCACGATCGTCATTTCCAAGCCAACTGGACGCCGCTTTTTTTCCCGGTATTTACGCGGATATAATATTAAATTATATATTACAATCAAAGTAACTACGCCCATGACACACTTTCTCAAGATCTCTGAACAGCGTTGCCATTCTCACGGGAATCCTTCATGACTGCGATCAGCCCGTCTTGTTCCCACTCGCATAGAGCAAGAAACAAATATCTGATTCTGATCTTTTCCTTTTTATGAATGAAATGCCGGGTCTACTTTATTTAGAGGTCATTGTATGCACGTCCCTCATGAATTTATCGACACTTTTTTAGCATTAAAATATGTAGCACATATTGTAACTTTTACCCACAAAATTTTAGGTAGGTTTTAGAGAAAATTACAAAAAACATGAAAATAAGCTTGAAGTCCTAAAAATCAAAAGGCGTTTCTATGGTAATACAATTTCGATTTCATTCTTTGATAGATTTTTATTGAGGGTGCATCCACACTATCCTAAAAACGGCGTAACGACCTTGAATAGATTTCCAGTAATTCTATTGGCTGAAAAATTCATCTGTCAGAAATTTTATCTGTCACATTCATCTGTCAAAAATTTCAGCCAATAGAATTACTGGAAATCGATTCAAGGTCGTTACGCCGTTACGCCGATACGCCGTTTTTAGAATAGTGTGGATGCACCCTGACAGAATTTTAATTAATGTCATATGATCATATATGATGTCATATTTATTACTTTAAAATCTTAAAGAAGCATAAAATTTATTTAGTTTAATGCTACGAAAAGGGTGATAATAGTGATCGAAAAATGCGATACTTTAACTAGGTACAGCAAAAAATATGACGTCAATCAAAATAAATAATAACCAACTATCAAAAAATAAAATAAGTCATTTTCTATAAAATAGTATAGAAATTTGGAAACGTATAAGCGGGATTAACCATTTTAGAACAAGCAAAAATTTTTATAAAGAATGCATTTTTCTCAAAATGTTATTAATAAAAAAGTTTTTCCTATTGTAAAGACAATCCGAGGACATACTGTAAATTGGCAATTCGGCCCCGGTGTGCGTCGGCATAGCAGAACGTCTTATATTTGTTTCGCTTATTTTCTTTTAAAAATTTCCATTTCAAAAATACCATGTCAATCAATACAGCAAATTATTGATGCGCTGTTTGCATTATTGAATGATAAATTTGACTGTTATGCAGGGTGGCGCACCTCATTCGCCTCGGTTGATTATACGAAAACGGAAAGATGTAGAAACAAAATATTTTATGGGTATACCGGGTGCGTCTCAAAAGTGGCTCACCCCTATAACTTTTTATTTTTTTCAGTTAAAAAACCAGATTTGGTATATTAGTATATGACATAAATTCGGATTGATTGACGTATACAATTGTTTTCGGTCACTCCCTGTCGAGCTTCCTGTTTCGCCAGAAATGATTAACTTTTGATTTTTAAATGACACCCTCGGTATTTTTTTTAATTTATTAGATAGAAAAGAACACTCTGAATAGAATGACATACCATTTGTCTACGTTTGACATTTTCGCATATGGTTTATTCGAAATTATAACTTGCGGTTTGTAACGAAAACTTGACTCGAAATACCAAGTGTGTGGTATCAATTTATCCGTGAAAAAATGCTTTTCCCAAATATGCTAATGAGCCGCCCTCGTTCCATTTGAAAAAATTCAGATATGCTTAAAAATACGATTTGAGCATCTTTTAACCGGCCAGGACAAGACACTAAAAACATTAGACGATCCAATCTATTTTTCCAAAGCTCCTTGATTAAGAATTAGTGTTTTTAGCATAGCCACGACACT